TTTCTTGCTTGAAATTCATTATTTGTTACTGTGTTCTTTACATTTTTGCAGGTGAAATTCTTTCTCGAAGATATTTTAGTGTTAAGGTTCAGGTCAGTAATCATCTATTCTAGGTGCACAAAACAGTGAAAACACAGCATGCCTTTCGCAGATCCCAGTGGTTTTGGAAAATTCCATGGGTTTTCTTAATACTGGCATTACAGACCCTGTCTAGACATCCTCCCTTCATGGATACGTATGACACAACTGTGAGAACCAATCATGGAGATTAGGATGGAAAAACATTATTTTGCATGGTTTCCTTGATAATTGCATAGTTGTTAATGGATGTATCTTAAACTTTGGAGTGACAAGTTTTGTTGGCCATGGAATACCACGGATGAAGGAAGGGAGACAGAAAGCAACGCAGGCAAAGAGTGAGGAAGATCAACACAGAAATAAATGTAATTCAGCATGATAATTCCTTAAAAGAAGTATCAGTACATTCTTTGCCAAAGAAAATACAGAATACAGAATGAGGAGGGGAATGGGGGAGGTGGACAGAGCTAGAGAAGAATGAAGAGAAAGGGACAGTAGTATTAACTATGTACAGGAGGACTAAAATGTGATAGGAAAGGTGGCAGTAGCTAAGGCCAGTGAGAGATTTCTTTGTGTGTCAGTAAGACCTGTACAGCTGAGGAGTCTCTTTGGGATCAGGTGTTTGCAGCCTGCATGCTTTGCTGACTCCAGCCCTTCCAGCAGCTCCCCAAAATTACTGCTGAAAAATTCTCTTCAGCTGCAGCTCTAGAGATGAGTGAGGGAAATTATTCTCTTCTCTAACCATGCTATCATATTTCCATTTACCCAGCTCAAAATGAAAGGCTTTTGAAATAAAAGGCTTTTGAAATGTTCTCGGGATTGCAGTGTTCCAGACTTTCAACCACCTATTCCCAACCATTATAATTGTTTACAAAGCAAAGCTTTTATTGCTTCCTCCCACGTAAAGGAAGCAGTGATGGGACAAAGATTCATCCCTAGATGACAATGTTTTTGTGATTCCAAAACAAACTTTCTAAAAATTATTTTTAAACCAAAAAAGGACATTTTCTTCTCTGCAGTTGTTACTGTGTTGTTTTAAAAACCTTTGCTCAGATGCGACATTAGAACTGAATCTGACAGTTTGTGCTAGTAGCCTCATAAGATACAGATCATAAAACTTTAATTTTCTACTTTTGTGTATTACAAGGCCAGGTTCTTTAATTTTACTTGTTTTCCTATGAAATATTGGATTCCCATATTGTTTCTTAATGCCACCTTGTTCTCAATTCTTGCATTCTCTTTTGAGTGGAAGAATATGGCTGAGAGAGAACAGGTAAGATTTCTTCCTATGGTTTAAAAAGGCAGATTAAACCTTCAAGGCAGGTGTTATGTTGACAGTGTGGTAGTAGCTAGAGCTTTGAATTTGGTGCTTGCTGCAGGTTGCTAAACAAGGTCCTTGTTAGTAAACAAGCATGCATGCAGCTACTTGTCTTTGTATGGATTAAAAAAATATACAATCTTTATGTAGCAGGCTGCAGCATCTCCAACCTGACCTACCTGTATGTAAAGCAGGTCAGGTAAAATTAGTAACCTACTTGCTGTGGTGAGGTTTTCTTATAGAATCACAGAATGGTTTGGGTTGGAAGGGGCCTTAAACATCATCTAGTTCCAACCTCCCTGCCATGGGCAGGGACACCTTCTACTAGGTTCCTCAAAGCCCTGTCCAACTTGGCCTGGAACACTTCCAAGGTGTCCACAACTTCTCTGGACAGCAGAGATATGTTGCAATATAGAAAGAAGCAAAGTAAACTGGTTCATCTTTAGGGTGCAGCAATGAGATGCAGTGAGTATCTGGATCTTTAAAAATGGTTTGAATATTCTTCATCATCTACAGAGTTGACAATCTTAGTGCCTTTCCACTGACAATAGGTCAACTACTGGTGTAACACCTCTTACTGTGCCTAGTCAGGACTGCTGCTGCTGGCCAGTATTAGCTGCTCATTATTGTTCCAGCAGAACATTTTGCCATTTGTGTGGATAATATGCATGTGACTGAAGTCATTCAGGCTCAAAATAAAGCTTCAATTCAAAGCCTTAAACAGTAAGCTGCAATTGCATGAGGTTCCACTGGGTTAGATTTGGCTGTCCTAGAACACTGTCAGATGTTTAATGGGTAGAATTACTGTTTTTGTAAAAAATCTTTATTAAGTGTTAAAGAAGGAAAGAAAGAGAAAATCAGAAAGGAGGGGGAAGCTTTAGTGTTTTGCAGTAAAATATTTTTAAGACAAAAATTTAAGCTAATGGGACTAAGGTTAAGAAAACAAAGGATTTAATGTAGTGAGTCGAGATTTTCAAGATCTTAATGCATTTAGTATTGCATTTTATAGTATTTTGTACCCTAAAGAGTACTCATGTGCCTCAGTGAATATAATCCTTTTGTTTTTGCTTCTTGGAATTATAGAAGAATTCATAGAATTCATAGAAGCATAAAACTGACAACCTGGAATATAAGACAGGTTGTGATGTTTGTGATAAAACTGTTATTTTATTACATTTGGTGCCAAAATCACAGAAATTATTTGGGAGAATTTTAGCGAAGTTCTATCAGCTTTACATTGAGAAGTTATTATAATGCTGTTGCTTTTGGGTGGGTTTTATGTAGATTTTATTTTTGCATTAGTGATTAAACTCCTGCATTACCTACACTGAAACTCCATCAGGGAATATTAATAGTCCATTTGGTGGCCCTGCAATGTGTTTTCTGTACAGGGATGCCTTAGGTGGCCAAAGTCCCATAGGTCGTAGGTCTAGGTAGCTATTGGAAGATATGGGAACAAAGCTGTTACAAATAGAGTAGCTGTGGGTTTTGCTTGTTTTAAAGCATGTTTGTGTTCACATCTCAGAGGACATTCTACTTCTTGATCTTAGTAGTAGGGCCTGGTGGGAGCAGAGAAGCAATAAATCTTCACCCTGAAATAAAATGTTCTCAACCTGGCTTTTAAAAGATAAATTAATCCATTTGTAATTTAATAATAGTAACAATAACAGAATAATAATGTTAAAAGGACAATAACAGGTCTTGCCTTCTCCACTGATTTTGCTGTGCTTTGACATCTTGCATTTGAAGTGTCACCTATCTCCCTGCCCACCTGCTCTTATCTAGGTGATATTTTATATGAGGGATTTGAAAGGTCCAGAACAATTTACATTGAAGATAATGTTGTTGATACTGATGTAACAGAAAGTGTTGATGCTGCACCTGTTAGTATTCTGATTTCAAAACAAAAAAACAAAAAAACAACCAAAAACAACAAAAAAAAAGAAAAGTACAAAGCTCTGTACTTGTGTTCATTCTTGATAGCTAGGTTTAATGGACACTTGTATATTTCTGTAAGTTTTTTCAGATGCAGGTGAATAGATGATGCTAGATTTTTTTCCTTTTCAGTCTTTTATTATTTTGCTTCTTTCCCTGTCAATTCAAAGACTGTAATTTAACTGAAAAAATGCTTATTTCTTTGCTACGTGTGATGTTGAATAAGATTCCAGTGACTTCCCCGATTCAGAATTCGAAGCCACAGCTTCATCAGATCCAGTCTATTGCTCAATTTTAAAATAAATGGTACTTTGAAATATTTTTATATAGATTAGTTTGGGTTTTGATAATTTTTATTTCAAAAATTCAGAGTAATAGCTGAATTCCAATACTACACATTCCAGAAATGGCTTTCTTACTGTCTTTATTAACTGCTTAGTGAACAAAATTGCATAGTAAACTGTAGAGTTGTTAAAAACAACACAAATAGTTTTTAATTACTGAAGTATCACGGTATTTAAAAAGAATAAACTTGAGAAATAATTAGGTGCATTTTAAAATGGAAGGAATTTTTGCTGCATCACATGATTCAGGCATCCTACTCAAGGCTGACTCAGCAGAGTTTACTGATGGGAAAGGAGAAAAAAATGGACAGAATTGTGTAGCCAGGTATGTGAAGTTATTGAAGTATTGCTTCAATGTGATTTTTCTGCAGAAAACAGTGACTGGAAAGGTGGTATGAACACTCGTTCCCTACCGAGATCTCCCCAAATTCTTACGTATAAGAAAGCCTGCATTATTGCAGCATGTTCTGTTTCAGGACTTCTGGCAAAGTTATTACATTCTGCACTTAAATAGAATAGCTGTTGTAACTGCATTCTTGACTTCTCTTTAATTGCTGTCTAAGCACTGATAGTACACATACTTTTTCAAAGAGTTTATGGGAATAAAACCAATACTTAATGAGGTTAAAAGAAATCTGTTTCTGCATTTGAGTAGGCATTAAATCCTGCTGTGACCTGCTGGACCAGGGTAATACAGTGCTTGTTCCATAACTTCAGTACATCCAAAATCCATAATGAAAACAGCTGTAGTTTCTGGTCAGTGCAAGACACTGTGGTCAGCCTTAATGTGACATCCCACAGTTGCTTACCATTGTGTGGACCCAGATCTAGTATGAACTGGATACTAGGAAGTGGGAAAGGGTTTTCCTGCCTAAGAAAATTATAGGTATCACTTAAGGGCTATGCCTTCTGTTTGTCATCGATGGTTAATGGCAAAACTTCACCCTCTTAGAACAACATACAAGGAAGGAGTGGAGTAAAAAAGTTTTCTATAAAATGTGTAAGAAATAGAAATATATCATCATGAAAGAATGATATAAAGAAATCAAGGAAGACATGATGATATATGTCTATGCTAAAGGACTTGAGAAGAAATGATATACATAGGCCCAGTTGTGACGAGCATGTTCACACACTGCTAATTAATTGCAAACAACGTAACTACTTGTGGAAGTGAAAACTGCCAGTGAAAACAGTGAAATCGGCCTCTAAATCAGCATATTTATGAATTTCAGTACAATTGTATAGCATTACAGAGAAAATGAGCACTTTCAAAACCATTTAGTGGTAATTTAATATTATTTCTTTTCCTTCCTGTCCCACAGGTACTCTGTGTCTGTGTGTTAACGACAATCCTAGGATGTATATTTGGCCTGAAGCCTAGCTGTTCAAAAGATGGTAAACACTATGTCTTTTATTTAGTAATGTTACTCAAAAATTCCTTTTTTTTTTTTTGGTGAAATAATTTTCATGTTATCAAAATGCTACCCCCTTCTTGCTGCAGGAGGAGGATTGCATGCATTGCTTGAAGCAGCATCAGTAAGAGTGGAATAAAAATACCAGAAAATAAACCTCAGGTGTAATCAATGATTGTGTGTACTCACTTGAGAGGTAAAGTGATCCTGGTACTCAGTGTCTGATCTGGCAACTTCCATGTATCCCAGCTGTCACTGTGGTGAATGGCTGGCTTTTTTCAGTTCACCATTAAAAAAAACCAAAATGAAACAACAAAACACAACAACTTCTATTTCATGTTGTCCTGGAACATTTGTTTTTCATCTTTTCCAGTCAATTATGGAGATAAAAAAAAAGGTTATTTTTTTTACTGGTTAGAATTGTAGCCTGAAAACATTCCTGGTGGAATTCCTCTGTCTGTTTTCTGTTCTGAAAAATATGTGGTTTTTTTCAATAGTGAAGTTTCTTCAGGTAGAAGGTTACGAAAGATTTTTTTTTTTAAAGAAGTTAGGCTTCACTTTGGGAACAACTATGAAGAATAATTTCAAAGCTGAACATAAAATGATTTTCAACAGAAGTTCAGTTTATACAATTTCTGTTACAATATATATAGGTTTCTTCTCATTTTATTGCAGCTCTGCAATATTGGTTCATTAGTATCTCATTTTCCTAATATCACACACCTCAAGATTCTTCAGAAGATGAGCCAAATGACGGATTTCCCTCACTCCCTTCTGGTGATTGCTCAGGATTAGACAGTGTGACTAAATCCTTTATTTTTGTTAATCCTTCACATTACTAGTTTCTAGTTGGGTGGTGGTGGGGTTTTTTAGGGTTTTTTGTTTGTTTGTTTGTTTTTATTGTTTTGTTGTTGCTGTTTGGTTGGGTTTGGGGGTTTTTTGTTTGGATTTGTTTTTTAAATTTTTTTTATGATTATCCCCCTGCTCTCAGCAACACCAATCTAGTGGAAGAATGCTATGTCTTTTTTTGATATTGAAATTGAACAAAAAATAAACCTGTGAGCAGTATACTCATGTTTGTATCTCTTGTGTCTGCTTTGGAACAACCATCCTTACATCTTGAGACCTTACATACTCTGAGGGTCTGTACTCACATCTTCCTGTGACACAGGGGCGAGGACAGTCACAACTAGCTTTTATTTCATTGGTTTCTGCCAGTACTGAAACACGATGTTCCTGCTAAAAGAAAACAGAACCTTTTGTTCAATATGATGAAAAATTATTTTTGTTCAGTAAGAGGAAATGAGCATTTGGTTGGATCAAGTGTTTCCTTTGGCTGCCACTGTTTTTGCAGCCATCCTGTACGTTGGAATCACCAACTGTATCATTTCACACGTGGGCTGTGTTAGTTTCTTTTGCATGTTGACTGATTTGGGCTCAGCCACTGATATCTAACACTATCCAATATTACAGTGAAAACCTGCAAAGGTCGCTGCTTTGAAAGGACCTTTGGAAGCTGCCGTTGCGATAAAGATTGTGTCAAGCTTGGAAACTGCTGCTTAGATTACCAGGAAACATGTATACAACCAGGTAAGGATGGAAGAAACTGAGGGAGCAATCTCTCCTGCTCTTTGACTGGGGACAGCTCAGCACGTGTGAGTACTGCTCTGGTCAGGGCTTAGTTCAGATGGGCTGTGAATGCAAAATGGGGCTACTGAGCAGCAGAGTGTTTCTGATGCCACTCATCTTCCCCGTTTTATACTGTGCTGCATTCCTGGATGGAGTTGCAGTGATGATGGTGGTACTGGGGACTCCTGTGGAAGCATCAGGGCTCTGGTACAGCTGCTGTTTCACACAAGCAAAGGTTGTATTTCACCCAGCTGGACTACTTAGGAGCTGACAAAGCCAGTAGGCTGGCTTTCCCATAGCTCTCCTGTGAGAAGAGAGGCTGCCACAGACTGTGCTGCTGCCCTCCCCCTTGGAAGGAGGAGGAACAATGGCAACTCGAGGTCTTAGCCAGCTTTTTGTTTGCTGGTGGTGAGACAACAGTAACCTGCATTGTCCCTGGCATCAGGGATAACTCCTACGTTCTTGGGCAAGCCTGGAATAGAAGTGCATTCTGCATATTGCATTTGTCTGTCATCGCCTGAGTGAAAAAGGGGAAGGACAGAGCAGCTCTGTGAAAGCTGCCATCTCTCCCTACCCAGCTGCTCAGGCCCACAGCCTTGCTACTCCCCTGCCTGAATGTGAAGCAAGGGTCATGAGCATGAATCAAGGCAGGATGACAAAACAGATTGCACTGGTGAAGGATTGCGAAATGAGAAGCAGCTGCCATGATTTGCCAGAAGGCAAAGGTCAAAGAGACAAACGTGTGAAAAATACCTAAGAGAAATTTTACAAGGAAAGATGTTAGTGTGGGTAGAACAACAAATACAGCAGTTAACTATTTTCTTTCCTTTGGTTTTGCCTTTATGCTTCAAAAGCAGCATTTCTTTCAGATAAGTTTTTTTCTTCTTACTCCTCTTTATATACATTTGATTAATTTCTGGGTGAGACCACACAGATACATTTAAAATTCCGATGTGGATGTTGAAAACCAAATGATTAAACTGAGCTCAGATCCCTGCTTCAATTGACTGCTACTGAAAATCAAGTTACACATATATAGTTGATATATCTAGGTATATAATTGCATGGGTTTTACTCTGTTTTCTTACATCACTCCTCCTGAGTATAAAGGTTCTTTAGAAACAAACTGGAGAGTCTGTCTTAGCACTAGGAATATGAATGAATTCATTGGTGCTGGTTTTTGTGTTTTTTAAAATTAGACCTAACATCAATGGAGAATAAAATTCTAATTTCCCAATAGTATCATGTAACTCGAACCATAATAGATTCTTCTCTCTCTCATGGAAATAGAGATCTATTTGATATTAGTGGAATTACTGAAAGTGAGATTAATCTCCTGACAATGCTTTTAGGGATCTCTAATTGCTAGTCATGTATGAAAATTATTGAGTGTCTTCTGCTCAAACATTTAGATTTGGCTTCCACGTTTCTGTATCTGCACTAAGTATTCACTCAGCTGGTAAATTCACTGGTGTTTATCCTCACTGAATGTAAAGGATTTATTTGTGTTTATGACTGCTAACAAATCATAGAATCACAGAATATGCTGTTGGAAGGGACCCATCAGGATCATGAAGTCTGACTCCTGACCCTGCATAGGACAGGCCAAGAGTCACACCATGTGCCTGACAGTTTTCCAAATGCTTTTTAAACTCTGTGAGGCTTGGCACTGTCACCACTTCCCTGAGGAGCTTTTTCCAGTGCCCAGCCACCTTCTGGGTGAAAAATCTTTTCCTGATGCTTAACCTAAAGCTCACCTGACGCAACTTCATGCTCTTTCCCTGAGTCCTCTCACTGGTCATGAGAATGAAGAGCTTGATACCTGCTCCTCTGCTTCCTCTCCTGAGAATGTTGAAGACTATAATGGAGCTTTTCCTCAGTGTCCTCTTCTCCAGGCTGAACAAACAATGTGACCTCAGCTGCTCCTCATAAGGTTTCCTCTCCAGACCCTTCACCATCCTCATGGCCCTCCTTTTTGGGCACTTTCTCATAGTTTAGCACTTACATTGTGGCACCCAAAAATGCCCTCAGCACTGGAGGTGAGGCTGCCCCAGCTCAGAGCAGAGCAGGACAATCCCTCCCTTGCCTGGCTGGCCATGCTGTGCCTGATGCACCACAGGGCACGCTTGGCTCTCCTGGCTGCCAGGACACTGCTGACTCATGTTCAACCAGAACATCCAGGTCTCCAGACAATACAATGTATTGGAATATGCCATTCAGAGAAACCAATATTGTTCTCTAATAAAATCAGCAGTGGAGCTGAAGTCAGTAGGTCTTCCTGTGAGCTTATGTATAGAGTCTTAAATAGTGGCAGTGATGCCTATTACTAAGAGGTGCTGAAAGAGGCTGGAGTGGCTGATGATGACTGGTAAAATCCACTGTGACTTCAAATGCAAGTCAGAATAAATTAATGCTGCTCAGTGTTTTCTAGGCATTCCAAATTCAGGCTAATTTTTTTTTTATCTGGTGGAGTTTTGGGGCTTTTTTTTATAGTATGAGCTTAACAAATTAAACCCACATAAATTACCATATTTTAGAAGATCTGTAAAATGAATTCTTTCTGATCTGTGGTATTTATACCCATATGCTGCATATTTGTATTCAGATGATTGTGCTCTTAGATATTTACTCATGGGTGTTCCTACTTCCTGAAGTGCTAAAGTTTGTGATACTATGCATGTATGAGATAACTCATTATCTCTATTACACCTGAGGACTATTTCTCAGTGAGTAGAGATTTGAGACTGAACTTAACACTTGCTTTATTAGTTCTGGACTTAAAGCAGTATTAATCATTGTGCTGTCCTTCTCTCTCACCTGTTTTTTAGCCCACATATGGACCTGCAATAAATTCAGGTGTGGAGAAAAGAGGCGACTAGAATATCGTTGTTCCTGTTCAGATGATTGTGTGGAAAACAACGATTGCTGTGTTAATTATCAAGCTGTTTGTAAAGGTAAGTATCATCAACAAATTGCTACCCTCTTTCATATGTACCTAAATTTGTGTAAACGGAGCAAGAACATAATATGACTTTAAAAGCATCTGGTAACATGAAAAAAACCTTGCATCTATCAGTAAGAATGTACTGTCTTAAAAAATATATTGCATTCATTTGTTTTAAGGAGAGGCAAGCTGGGTTGAAGAAGAGTGTGAGAACATTACTGAACCTCAGTGTCCGAAAGGGTGAGGAAATTTTATATTTGCGTAGCTCTGCTCTTTGCTTGCATTTCATTTTTGACATTGTGCTCCCTGCTGTGCCTTCCTGGGACCTGCTTGCCTTTTACACACACAGTGAAAGCAGCTGCCAGACAGAGATGAGCACCTGTTCAGCCAGCATTTGGTGGTGCTTACCAACCCACCAGGTTGCTCTATCTCAGCAATTGCTTGACTTGCAAGATTTGCCTATTCCTCAGTCCTGGTGTTTCTCACAGATATGTGTGCCCTGGGTAAATCTGCCTGGTTGCCAGTCATATTATTGACCTACGTGTGCTACAATATCCATCATTCCAAATATTTTGGGACCCATCCAGCAATCTTAGACTCCTGTCTCCCTCTCTTGTCTCTTTAAAAGACCTTTCCAATACCTTGCATTTTCCAGCCTCAGGACTGCAAATTGTGGGCAGATCTGTGTTCCAGCTCTACCAGGAGTGGGACAACACTATTTGCAAGCTGTCTGAATTACTTTCTTTAAAAGGTGTAAAGTGCCAAGGGATCCTTGTATTCTCTGGCTCAGCTCCACATTGGGCCTGCTCCTGCAAGTTATGTATACAGTGTGTGAGGAATGACTCATGTGGTTTATGGCATCAGCACTCAGGCTTGAATAGTACAGCAAAGCTCCCAGCCAGGAAAAAAAATCTTGTATTACTTGAACTGTTTTTGCTGTGGGATCTTCTGACTAAGTTTGTAATTAAAGTTGACTATAAACTATGGCTGTATACCTAGGCTGTCAATAAAAGGGACTTCAATTCTAGGTTGATTTATGTTCCTGTAGTAAATACTTACTAGACATGTTATGGGACAACTATATTCTTTTCTGTGTAGTATCAAAAAACACACACCTTTTTATTTTGATTTTGAAATTATAGCCCAATGGGATATTTCTAGTAAAGTATAACCATTTTATTTTGTGCTTATGTCATTACAGTTTTTACTTAAGATATTTAAATCATGCTATTTTTATTCATTGGCCTTATAATACTGTCAAACAAAATACAAAATATTTCCATGTGAAATATTTCATACCAATTGAGTACCCTTCACTCTGATTCAGAGCACTAACAGTTGCTGAACTTTCAGAACCTTCATCAGGACAGAAACTGGAGCTTCTGTCCAGCTTATAGTCCAAGTCCCCAGTAATCCCCTATGTAGGAAGGGGGGGTTCTTGAAGTTTTTGTCGTTGAATTTTGTTCTGAGTTCAGGAGCCATTTGGGACTTCTTGCTGAGAACTGAGTCTAGAGTGATGATTTCTCTAACAGGGTTAGGAAGTGTTGCCCCCAAGAGGTTGGTAAACAAAGAGTCTTGTGCAGATCTACAGTCAAAGTTACTGACGTAAATGCTGTAGGGCAACTCCTGTTGGTTAACATGTTTTTAGGGTTTTTTGTTTGTTTTTTTCTGTTCAGCTCATGAAAGGGATACATAGTTACTCCTCTAAAATTGTTTTAATCCTAGTAAACCCCAAAATGTTGCAATAAAACCCAGCCCAGGAAAGGGTGATGTGTGGTCAAAGCTGAATCAAACAGTGTTGACTGAAGGTTCATCTTGGACTATTAGCACACAAGCCTCTCCCAAAAGTAACAACTCTGTAAACAATCCACTTCTTCCTATGCTGTGTGGTAGACAGTAGTGCAGGTGAATTTAGCTGCAGTGCTCGTTTTGAGACTTCAGGATATCAATTCTGATTCTGTGCATATTAATACAGCATATTTTGTGGGTTCAGAATGCTGGTTTTATTCTGTTTTAGTTTTAGCTGGGTTTTAGCTGTTCCTGTGGTGCAGAATGGACAAAAGATGATACAGCATTCAATGAGGTACTTAATCTGAGAAATCCCACTGATTTCAGTGAGATCAACTGCTCACTGATTTCACTGATCAACAACTTAAAATTAAGTACACAACTAAGTCTTTCCAAAACTGGGTTCTGTATTGTTTAATAGGATTATAAAGTTAATAGGCTTTAAGACCTCAGGAGTGATCTAGTCATTCCTACCATTCTAGGAGTGAAATCATACTCAGACAATTTAAACCTACTTAAGCAGGTTATCCTAGTACTTACATAGATGGCTTTACTGATGACTTTTTGCTGTCTTTTTGTCCTCATGTGCTTCAGGCCTATTACTATTTGCCCTATCTTCATTGAGCTGTAAGAGCATCTGGTTACTTTCCTCTTTGCTGATCTCTCTTTATATTTGGGAATTGCTCTTATGCCTCCTGCTGAGGCTTTCTGTAGATTTAGTGGAAAAGAAAGCTTTTCCTCCTGTGCTTTATGTCTGTATACAGGCAGTATGAATGTGTGTGGGATGACAAGTCTTCTGTGTATTACATTAAGATTTTCAAGGGAACTTTCTTTTCCTTCCTATTTTGTTTTCTTTCTATTTCTTTTGATTATGGTCTAACCTGCCTGCAATGAGGTAGGTCAACTTGGCAATGTGTTCCATGGTTCTGGCCTCTTGATCATCCAGAAGACTGGTGAACCTACTAGACCACAGCAAGCCTGTGTTGCCTGCATAATGTTTCCATAGAACCCAGTTTATAGGAGGGGATAATTGCTACTGCATTTCCTTCAGTTTGGAGTCAGGATGTGTGGGATACCTATTTATCCAAGAGCTGTGAAACATGCTTGTCTTACTGTTTGGACACAGCCAGCATGAATCACCAACAGGACCAAAACTTGAGCCTCCCAGGCTTGCTTGCTCATGACAGCCCATTCATTCAGTAGCAAGCGCAGTCTTGGCCACTGACAGGAAAAATGCGTGGAAGTGGCTGCTATACCTCAGAATGGAGCTTGGGTCAGCTTGTCTGGGGATTTTACTGGAGCTGTTCCAAAGAGAGTGTGGTTTAACATGGTCTGTCATGCTTTGCTTCCCTGAGCACTAGGGCAGATCACTAAATATATGAGTTTTGGCATGTGTAGAGTATACAAGAAGTGAAATGGGCAATTGCTGTCATTGTGGCAATGGCCTATTTTGCCAAGTTTAATTTTACATGTGAGAAGGGGTCAGTAGCTAGATTTGCAGACAACCAAAACATGTATTTAACAGTTGGTTTACTTGTAAATGCCAAACCAGAAACAGTTGCGTAAAGTCCCTTTCTAAGTGCTTGTTTTAAGTTTGGTGGGGTTTTCTGGTTTTGGTTTGGATTTTTTTTGTTTTTTTTTAAGTTAGACTTGTTGGTAAGTAAATTGAACAGACTTTGCCTCAAAGCTTGCATTTTATTGCACAGAACTTTGCAGTGAAGATTTTTAGACCTCTGCACTGAAGTGAATCAATTTATTGAGAAGGGACATGGAGAAGGTATTTGCAAAACTTGAGGAGATCAGAATTTGTGGTGCAAAAAATACTTGTAATATGGGCAAAGGTAGTGCATAAAGCTTCCTTACTCTGTTCTGCCATATGGCTTTAGTTTTGACCTGAAAATTATTCATTTCGTGTTCCCACCTGTGCCAAATAAATTAAAAAACAGGCTACAAACATACATCTTAGAAATGCATCTAAAGGTTTTATTCTACCTGAGGTATAGGGTAGGCTACGTAATAATTCTGAACTAAGTATAAATCCTTTTGGCTGAACTGTTGTCCAAATTGTTGATTAAAATTTTCTTAGGATTGACATGTTTTGGTTGCCCGACTATTCCTTAGTTTACATTTGTTTGACTGACACACAGCTTATAAATTTTTCATTTGTAAATGGCTCTTCAGATTTTTTTTGTGACGTACATTACTAAAGAAATTGTCAACACTTTATAAATAATATTTTTCTTCTATCCTCACTGTTTTATTTTTGGAAACTAGAGTATAACAAAGTTTTAAAAAAAGTAAATATAAAAAGGGAAAATGAGCTGGCAATAAACCAATATTTTAATGTTATAATATTATAAATAGTAAATTGTTTTATGAAATTCCATATTTTCAATAGTTATTGCTGCACAGCAGTGATTTTTTTTCAGTCTCACATGCCCTCATGTCTATAGGTCAAACACAGGGTATGTTTTCTTCAAGGAAGAAGTTACTGATGTTACAGAAGTTACTATTCCTGTCTGTGATGCAATGTTTTAAGTACTTAGAGTTGGAGAGAAATTGTTTGAACAGGGCTGAATGTGGGAGCAAGTCAAGACTGGAAAACATAGGTCCTGTGGAGACTGGAAGGGGAGATTTTGTTTTTGTTGGTTCCAGTGAAATCAGTATCTGAATTTATCTGTAAAGTTCCTAGCAGAAATGCTGTTACGGTGTTTCCAGTCCCAGGGCCACATTTTTGAGTTTGGAGATTGGTAGGACTTTTGGAGCAGTAAGCAAGTTCTTTTTGGTTGGATAATCTTTGTAAGACGAGAGGAAAAGTATGTGTTTTAGTTGCTGATTTAACGTACCCTGTACATTAGACTTGTTAACAGTTCTGTGCACTGTACATATATATATAATATATATATATATATAATATATATATATATATATATTATATATATATTCATTTCTTTCATCTAGGTTACAGCTTGTTCAGGAGGAAAGTGAATAAAGGAAAGTTTGGCCTTGCATTGCCTTATTTCTTTCCCTGCTCTTAGCTCGTGGTGGGAGAACAGGGTTGGAGGGGCTGAGTGTTGCTTCAGGGGACTGATTTCAAGCTAAGGAGTACCAAACCCACCAGATGGATCACCTGAGCATCTTAAAGGTGGTTCACCTTAAAGGTGTGCTTGAAATCAGGCTTTGCAATGACTTTTCTGTGCATGCCCTGCTGCAAACCTCAGCCTCTTGGGGCATGGATTGTTCTGCCCACCTTTGAGCAGAGGGACCGGAGCAGTTTGCTCACCACTGTGCCAGCAAAACTTCTGCTGAGGAGGATTTCCTTGCCCTGGCTTATAGCCCCATAATGAACACTTCCACTGTCTGGGGAAACTTTCTTGAAATTAGTGATAGGAAACTGTTTCTCAGAGTCTGTCTTTTAATACTCAATTTCTGTTTGTTCAGATTTACCAAGTCTCCAGTGTTACTATTTTCATTGGATGGCTTCAGAGCGGAATATTTGCAGACTTGGGGTGGACTTCTACCTGTTATTAGCAAATTACGTGAGTAGTTTCTTTGTCTAAGAACTATTATGATGTCTTACCTGAAAAAAAAACCACAAATGCAGCTTTCCTCACTCTTTAAAATCCTCACTCTTCTGCCATTATTATGGAAGTTGTTGCCCTAAAGAACACCCATGCACAAAGAACTTCTAGTGTTGGAGAGTGGAAGGGCAAGAAAGAGAGGGCTTGAGGAAAGGGCCTTTTTGATTTTTAGTGAAATCTTATAAGTTATAGCCCCTTTTATATTTAGGAGATGGGGTTTTTTGTGCTGTGAGGTTATTTATTCAAAATAGAAGCAGTTTCTTTTTACTCTGTAATGCATATCATCTCATATTTAGGTGGAATGGTTTTGGAAAATTAAAAGCATTTGAATATATTTGGAAAAAGAAGACATAGAAGGAATAGACTAAGAGGAGATGATATAGGAGGGCTGGTAAAAATGAAATGAATCCAAGAAAACCTTAATTTAACGAACATTTCCTGAAGAAATATTCCTCAGCTTTTTTAGTGTCTTGATTTGGTGGTGTCTAAATAATTTTACTTTTCCTGTTTCTGTTTTGGCTGTGGTCTGTAGAGAACTGATGGTATTTCTTGTCTGAAAAATATGCCAATCTTCTTGACATTCAGAAATTACTACCTGGGGTGCCTGGTTTCAGTTTGACTAAAAATAAATCAGTAAAAATACTTGCTTTTTTACACAGTGGTTGGTACAACTTGAAGCATTCCAGAGGATAACAATTCGCAGATGTATCTGAGGTTTTGGGTTCTTTTTAGTTTTGTTCCATGCTAGAATAAAATGAGACATTTGCAAAGTTTTCATTAGCTGCAGTTATAAAAAAATATAAACTGGAGAAAATTTCTGGGACATTTCTAGGAGAGGCTGGCTAGTACAAATTATTCTAGCTCTGCCTGAGATACAAGATAGAAGTGTCACAAAGCATGTGTAGGACTTCCAGTCTGCAGTATCCACTTACACATATAAAGTTTCTTCATTCTTTGGTCTGGATAGATTTCAGTGGGACTTCCGTCATTGACTTCTATAATTAACTTGCTCTCTTTGCACTGAGCCCATGACAAATTCTGACCACTAAGAAATACAAATATATTTGTATTTCATCAAAGTCATTTCACGTCTCCACAGCAACAAGGTTTTTGATGGTCAAACCGTGTATTTTTAAAAGATTCTTATACCAGAATGCCTAATAATACATGTTTTATATCCAACAAAATACTTGCCCCAGTCTGGGGGCAAGTATTAATTCTGCATTATGCTTACGGTTCTAAAGTACTCTGGATCATTTTTTGATAATATGCTAGGAGGGCTTTGCTATACAATGTGCTATGGGATCTTTCAGTTTTCTTCTTTTTTCCCTCATAGTAAAAAATTGGTGAAATACTCAGATAAAGCAAATTTTCTTTAGTAAGAGAAAAATATTCTCATTAGTGAAACTTGGTGTCACTGAGGAGTACATCCACTCTGAGGGCCTGTGGCTTCAAATCTCTTATGTGCTCTATGTTCCATGTGTCCAAAAATGGTCATGGCAGTCATATTGTAAAAATAAACTTCTCTATGAGTGAGTAAATACTCCTGTAGGACTTCACTGGTCAGAAAAGGGTAATGAAATCTATTCCTCTGTGTAGGCAGGTAACAATAGTGAATAAATTGCTTGACTATTGCTGAAAAATTGTATTAAATAATTTTGGAGTTCAGAGCTGTCCATTTATAGGACTATTAAATTTTCAAAAAGAGTTTAAGAATGACAGCATTTACAAAGCAGTGAACAGCTACTCACATTCACTACTCACATTCATGGGACTGCCTGATTCTGTGTTAAATTAGGACCATGCTAAATGCCTGGATTTTCCTCTTTAAAGCATTTGATGATAAGTGCAGAATTCCAGTAGATAAAAATATTGCCATTATTTGGTCCTGTTAATTCAGCCATGCTTACAGCGATATTCTGGTGTCTCCTTGGAGAAATCTGTCAGAGTAGTATCATAATTTCACTTCTATCATGTTTTGTTATATGTTTGCTCTCCCTGCTATTTGAAAGATGAACAATTCAGCATGGAACTGAGGGATTTTGGTGAAGCAAGGCATAGTCTTGCTGTGAGCATGTGGTGTTCAGAGAAGACATTTTCATATACAATTATGCAGTGATATTTTAACTTTTAGATAAATGATTCTTTTGTCTTAAAACATCTTTAACAAAGCCAACGAGCCAAAAAGAATAATGATATCTCTGATGGAAAGTCCTAGCAAAAACTCCCTTGGATTTTTGGCAAAACTTTTTAAGAGTGTTTCTCTATTACTTTAAAAAGCAAGGGAAAACAAAACAAAAGAAAAGAAAACAACCTCCCCAGACAGCCACATCAAAAAACTAAGATTTTGGGAAACAGTCTCAACAACCGATTTGGAAGTAGTTGAAATGTGCTAGGTGTTTTCCAGTAATAAAAGAAGATGCAAGTGATTATTAGTTACTTACAGAACACAAGTGTGGGAGGTGGTGCCTGTATGACTTGAAAGGATATATTTTTCTGGCCTGGCTTCTTTTATCCTGATTAGCTGAAATATACTATTTCAACTGAAATCTAATTGAAGCCCCAATCCAATGAGTTCAAAGTGCCTTGATGCAACACTTCCTATGTTATGAAGCCTTTAATTTCTATTCCATTTATATTATATATAATTACCCAGAGTCAGTAAAGATGATGCAGTGATGTTCTTCTTATAGAGTCATTAGTTTTTGTTCTTTAGCATCTGTTGAAACAGTTTTGCTATTTTTTAAGTTGTCATGAAAGCATTTTTTTTCTTTCTGAAAATTGGGGCCCACACATTTGCTGATGAAAATTTAGACCCCTTAAATAAGGCTTGCCCAGTTGCTTTGGCCTTGCTAATGCCTCTTCATACTAGCAAATACTGTATACTAATCTCCCTAAAGCCATATGATTTGTATATTGAGATAAAGAAAACTTTGACATTCATCCTAGAATAAGAGCTTATTTTTTATATTTTAAAAGCCCCACAAACAAGAAAGGAAGACTGCAAAACAAGCAATCATTTGACAGATGGTATAGAGAGCCAGGCACCACTGTGTCAGTGGCCGCTTCACCTCTCCTCTGGGAGCACCAACCAAGTGTCTGGTTGGTCTCAAGCTGCAGACTGCATTTACTGCATACCAGGGCAACTTTGGAGAGTGTGATTTCTTTCATTTTTGATTCTTATCTGTACATGCTTTTCACAAAGGCTGTAGGTTTTGCTCATGTGACCATTGCAGTCAGACATTAGACATAGATAAAATTTGTGTTAATAGGCTTTTAGTCAGGTTGCAAATTAATATGGGAAGAAAACTTAAGTATCAAGTCCACAATTTTGAAGAGTGAAAACTTTCTGGAAATATATTATGGTTTTGGGTTTTTTTTTTTAATAGCTATACATTGAGAGAAACTTGCAAGTTATTTTTTTCAGTAATTTTGCTGAACTTTCTTTGTTACTTCCTCTAGAGAAATGTGGAACATACACTTCCAGTCTGAGACCAGTGTATCCTTCAAAAACCTTTCCCAACCATTACTCCATTGTCACAGTAAGAATTCTTGTATAATATGTTTCCACTACTGTTCATTATCAAGTTTTCTCCAAGGGAATAGTACATTTTGATGTGTTATTAAAATAATTTGCTTTCCCTTCAGAATAGGAAAAATGATGTATTATATTTATGTAACTTAGGTTAACAGCTATTATATAACACTGCAACTAAGTGGCCAGATCTAATGTTAGTAAATCCAGTCCTTCCAAGAGTAGCTGTGAAAAATCCCATATAGCCAAAACTTCACATCACTTTACAACTCCTCATTTGTGTAAATATTTGCAATAAATTGTGGTTTCCACTCTCTTGGAGTGGGAGCAGCCTAACTGCTTTAAGTTGCCGACCTTATTCCACTTCATTAAGGTAGCCTGGCATGATGAAAAGAAGGGTATGAAATGAGAGGAAAGATTTGAGCATCATGCTGATATTGGCTCTGTGTGATGGACTGTACCTAAGCCTGCATAGAAATGTCACAAAGCTGATCTTGTAAATTTGACACCTCTTGCATGTAGGAGGAAAAAGAAAAATTGAGGTTTTCAACACAAATGCAGGGTTGGAATCCAGGACATCCTTTTTAGTTTCATCATGCCACAACTAAAATTCTATCAAATACTAGGATCTGCACTTTCTTATCTTCCCAGTTTGTCAAGACCTTTGGTAGGAGCACAAGGTCAGGAATGAGGTGCTTAATTGTGTAATCCTCACAAATCTCCATGACTGAATATGCAGCTAACAGTCGTTGACCATGCCCAGCAGCCATGTGAGGTGTACAGTGCAGAGGTTTATCTCCACTCCTCATTCTTGTGAAAAGTAGCAAGGTCCTAATGGTGGTGGTGTTTTATCCCTTATAAATGTAAAAAGGAGCTCGGGTCTGATTAAAGACAGAGCACAAAGTCTGCTAAAACTACACAGGACCTGGTGCCTGTCCTTCTTTGACTGCTCATGTAATGATTTTCTAGAACTAGAGCTTTTGCTCATGTGATTGAGGTTTAGCATAGGTAATTGCTTTATCTTTGGTACTAAAGATACAACAAATGTGTGAATTCAAGCAGTGTCTTTCAGTTTGATCCCAAAGGACAGTGCCTAATATTTTTTAAATCTCACTGAGAAGCAAATAAGGATTGGAAGGGAGGGCTTGGACGCAATGAGAGATGATGCTGCTAAATTTGGGTCCTGAGCTACTGGTGGAGTAGAAGTCACCAGCAGAGTGACTATTCAATGGATATATTTGTCTAAAGGATATGTCTGAGTAGCTGGAAGGTTCTTTTTCTTTAGAGCATTGCAACGAGGCATACTCTCAATTACAGGGGCTGTATCCTGAATCTCATGGTATAATTGATAACAAGATGTATGACCCCAAAAGAAACGCATCCTTCACCCTTAAAAGTGAGGAGAAGTTTAACCCACAGTGGTACCAAGGCCAGCCTGTAAGTATTAACACCCTTCTGAGAATGTACATCATCCTGTTATGTTACTTAATATGGCTTGGATGCATATTGATGTTGAAAGAGGACAGGGGGTAATTCTAAGTCAGCCAAGAAGCGTTACTCAGCACCACTAGGAATTGCCGTACTAGAGCCAAAAAATAACAAATGAAACAAAATGTAACAGCTTTTGTTGAACTTAACGGAATTTTCCCTAAGGAGAATTCTGACTTAAAATAGCTAATATAGCTACCAGATTTTCATCTGTTTTTATGAGTGGGCTTGCAGTTAAACTTCTGTGAGGAAATCAACAGACCAATAAGATTGAGTAATAAGAAGCACTAGTAAAGGTTTATGGTCTGATTAAATTTCTTCTAAGTCCAAAGATGTGGTTTTAAAAGAAATCGTCTCAGCTCAATCATACACCTATGGCAAAACTGATGACATCACCATGAAAATGAAGTGGCATGGAAAAATTTTAGTGAGCGCTACCTAAAGAATAGCAAGGGACGAGATGTAAATATTTAGTGTGTGGGGAAGACTGGGTTTTTTTGTTGTTGTTGTTTGGTTTATTGTTGTTGCTTGTTTTGTTTGTTTGGTTTCATTTGGTTGTTCTTTTTTTCCTTGAGGAGAGAACACACAGGTGTAGAACTTGCAGTCCACTGAGAATAGAGTGATGTATGAGTTAGGCAGGAAAGATGCAGAAGGCATAAATCTGTAAACCATGAGAGCAGCAGTAAAATCAAAGAACTGACCAAAATGCTGTTTCTGTATGTCAAGAGTGTGTGGGTAATAGGTCCTTGGAATATTCCCACCCCTTCTTTTGTCACTGTTTTCTGAGACATTTCCCCTTCCTGGTGTTCAGCCATGGTTCCACCATTGCATTTCTGCTAATGGTTCCTACCTCTGTCCTGGCTCTCCGTGGCATTGCAGCACCGGGGATGTGAGTGTTTGCCACAAGGAATCAGCCCACAAGGTGTAGATGGGCTGGAGATAGTGATGACAGGCAGGATGGACTGGAGTGCTCTGTGGAATGATTGGGTTCTGATCTCACTGAAGGGTGTGGAGTTGGTGAGGGGCCGTGGGCCTGGCAGGCTCTCAGCTGGTTCGGTGGTGGGTGCTAACCATGGTGAATGTTCTCCGGCAGATTTGGCTCACAGCCATGTACCAAGGGCTGAAAGCAGGGACCTTCTTCTGGCCTGGGTCTGATGTAGCAGTGAATGGAACCTTTCCAAACCTGTATGAAATATACAATAGGTATGTAAACACCTTTCTCTTGGAGGAATATTTGACTTTAACGATTGCAGTGGGACAGATGCCAGAGAAAACATACTTTTTTCCCCTACTTTTCTAAATAATTTTGTACAATGGGGAAAAAAGGCTAGGATCCAATTAACTTTGTTTCAGTATAATGTAGAACCTTTGTTTAATTATCTTTTCATTCCTCAAGAAATGTTTTAATGGTAAGATGTGTAAAAATCAACTTTAAGCATAACCAGCTTTGAAGCTCCAGTGCTTTACTCTTTCTATTTATACAAACCTTTTGTGGCTGGTGTAGAATATTTCAATCCAAACTTCTCATGAGTGAATGGATCAGGCTTTGATGTGATATTGTCAATGGAAACTAAAGTTTTACTGTTGACTGTGGTAAGCTGTTCCAATTAAAAATTATTTTCGTTGCAGATTTGAAAATATTAAGGCACTCATATTTTTGTCAGTGATTGCTCTTCACTGCAATTAAACATTTTCTGCTTAATGAAAATGTTTATCACCATTTATTTAATAATCTCAAATCTTGCCCAAGAAATCAGGCTTTTCATTTCTATCTTAAGATCATTTTCTCTTCTTACACCCTTCCAACAGGATGGAATTTTTGAATCTTGATTTTCTGCCTATGTTTTCTTCCCTAGGAACTGATGATGCACTGTTACTTGAACTTGTGTTAAACACCGAATACTTACTTTGTGGTTGCCTCATGTTGTTAAAAGTCAACATGCTTATTGTTGGTTTACTTCAGTAATTGATGCAGAGATCTACTTTGTAACATAGTATGAAAAACTTTTATTCAACCCAACCCTACTCCTAAACTAGCAATTTTTCAAAACATAATATAGAAATAAAAGCCTGTATGTGACTTTGCACCTTGAAGCCAATTATTTGCTTTGTATAATAAGGATAAGCACTACTAGAATAAGCATTATTCCAATCATCAGGCCATAAACTCCTGTAGAGTCAGGCAATTAAGATAGATAAATTTGTATCCTACTAAAAAGTCTGTAATGATTTTTTTTTCTGCTAAAGTACAGTGATTTTTTGGTAATGTATGGCTAAAAGATTTAGCTCTTGGAAACACATGGTTAGTTGATATTGCATTATTTTGATGCAGCTCAATCCCCTTTGAAGAAAGAGTGGTGACTGTCCTTCGCTGGCTGCAGCTACCTGAAGATGAAAGGTAGGTATACATTTGTGAGTGTGAATTCCTGTTTGAGTGGTACTGCAATGAATTACTTTGTAAACACAATTTCTGTTTTAAACAATATCTTTTGCTTTATTTTAAAAATGCTAAAATATTATTTAGGGCAAACTTGTTTCTATGACTGAAGACTTTTTAAGTTAAGTTGCATCTTTCAGTTTAATGTATTTTTCCTCTGAATGACAACGTTGTTTCCAATATGTGATCTCCATTGTTGAAATATAATCTCTTCAAACTGTCTCAACATGTATGTAAAATATTACATTTTTGGTACCGTTTGATATAGACCACACTTTTACACTCTGTATTTAGAAGAACCAGATTCCTCGGGCCATAAGTTTGGACCAGTAAGCAGTGGAGTAAGTAGTTTTGTAGTTTCTTATTTTTTTTTTTTTTTTAAAGCTTGACACTTTGCTCTGACTCTATAAGTTCCATAATTCATGTTAGGTTAACTGAGATCATGTGAAGTATGCTTTTTAGGAAAAAAAATTGCAAATAGACAGACCATCCATGATTAACATTGACATAAAGCATATAATAGCCTATTTAGTATGCCTCATTTTTATTTTCTTTATTTCACTAACTTTTAAATTACCAATGTATGTTTGGGTATGTCTTGTATGTTCTTTTATCTGCTCCTACTTACTAATGGTTCATATTGATTTTTGGCAGGGAAGGGGAATGGGAACAGAATATTTGTATAATTTCAATTTAGCAAGAACAGAGGTTTGCATAACAGTGTCCAAGTTGTGGTGGTGATGTATTCGGGTACAATTGTCATTAATTTCCCCCCAGTCTCTGTACTAAGAGTAGGTGGATTTTGGCTTTATCTCCCTGCAGTTATAACTTATGCCTTAGAAGGAGACAGGTAAAAGGAACACTGGCCTCATCACAGTCCGTGATTTATTATATAAGTAAGAAGTCTTTGGGACTGCTACTGTCTTAAAAAGTCTGAATAACTTTACATTTTAAAATATGAAAGTGAAAAATTGAAAGGAAAAAGTTCTTGGAAATTCAGGACCTTTGTAAATTTATCCCATCTTGAACAGTCAGGGAGTTTAGGCATCATAAGTAAGTATTTAGCCTCATTGGTGACAAGAGTAAAAAAGCTCTTGCCAATTCCTCTTGAGCTGTGGGTAGTTGCTATTGGTGTAAGGAAGTAGCAGACATAATTAGAACTGCGGTATGGGAACATGATTTTTCTTTGCTTAATAAGTGGATCTAAAGTTCTGTATGTCAGGAATACTCTCGAGAGAAGGAGCCTGAGGATTTGCATATAGTCCCTGCAGAAGCATCTCTTCTTCTATGATACAAAGCAAGACAGCTTGTACTAGTAGTTTAGAGAGGTGACAGAATGACTTCATTGGAAAACACTTTTTTTTTTTAACCTCACAAGTATTCAAAAGTAGCTCCAGTGCTGTATCTCTGTAAGTGAGCTAGGGCCCCAGACCCCTGATCACAAGCAGTGCTAGACTGGTAGTTCATTGTTTGGCTTTTTCAGTTTCTTTAAAGTAGTTTGACTGGATATTAGTCTCAGAGCACAACTTCAAGGGTAGTTTGCTCCAATTCCCAACAGGCATTTTGAGGAAGGGTATTGCAGGCTTGGCTTCCTCTATTATATCCAGTACATCAGTATCTGCATTCTTTGTCATTCCCTGCTGTCCTTGGTTGTGCCCAAGCACAATGCAACAAGCATCCTCAATTTCATACTTTAAAACCACCCTCACTGGTTATAATCTGTGAGGTGTTTTTTGTTTGATGCTTTTGTTTGGGTTTTTTTTCCTTTCTTTTTTAAAGCATCTGCAACTGAAATAGCACAAAGAAATGTGTAGCTGTGTCATGGTGCAGTATGCAGAAAAAAAATTTGGCTAAGTGCTGTATAGTGTAGATATAGCCAATCTTCTGTAGGCAGAGGTAACTCTGAACAGTGCAGGTGATGTGCAGTCTGCAGGCTCTCTTTTTTGTTTAGATATATTTAACAGTAATTTTAACACTTACTTTACATTCCTATTTTTGTCCTGCAGGTCATTATGGCATTACAGAGAGTGGACAAAATAGTAGGGATGCTGATGGATGGTCTAAAGCAAATGAACTTGCATAAATGCCTGAACATTATTTTTATATCAGATCATGGTAAATTTGACTTTATAAAATATATCAGAACTTTGAAGAACTGTCTTTATAAAGTAATATTCTGAATTTATACTTATATGTTTCTGGCAAGGTTAACAAAGCAAGTAATACCTATAAAATATGTTTTATATTATCAAGATGATATGACAGATAATCAGTGTGCGAGAGAGTCAGACTATTTTATGAAGGGGTAAAGAAGTGGAGGACATAGGAAGGAATTAAGTAATTTTCATATTTTATTTCTAATTCCTTTTGTGACTATTACCAGATGATAAAAGAAATAGAATAAAAAATGTGAACTGTAAAAAAATGGATTTAATTTTCTTCTGTCTTTTAACTACACTGCACAGCAACAGTTTACAAATTACTGAGGAACTGAAAAGACAACCTGTATCTTCCTTTTTATTATCAGTTCCTTTATACATTATTAGAAGACTGTGAATATGAAACTCTGATTTATTTGTCTAGCTTTTCTGTATATCTGGAATTATTTCTATTAAGTTACATATTTAAGCATTTTTTTCTACTTCTTTTCTTGACAAATGAAATATAACCACTCTTTCATGCAGCACAAAATTGACTTGCAAAGCTCTTTGCCACAGGGAATGATGCAAGGCAAATATCTGTACAGGCTTATAAAAATTATAACATTAATCGGGCGTAAACCTGCCAGGAATTATTTAAAGTAGGAGTTTAAATGCAATAAACAACTTGAAGCCTCTTTCTGAAAATTGATAAAGAGCACAGGGAGAAAGACCAGTCAATAATTCTGTGCCTATTGGTTATTTCTTTAGATATGTACTGAACATTATTAGGTAGGATACTGGGCTGAATTATTTGGTCTGACCATTACTCCTGTTCTTAGGCTCATAAGAGTTTTTTCCCTTTAGAGAAGAAAGTTTGTCTATTTATTAAATTGGAGAGTCTTTCTCAGCTGAGGAATTGGCTCATAGTGTTTATCTGTGCTTGGTTTTTTATCTTCTATGCATGACTATTATGGTCTTCTTGGGTCAGATGCTTTGGGATTGCTGATAAAAACACCAGAGAAATTACATTTCTGACTTCTACAACTAAAGTTACATGTCTCCTTAGCAAGGTGACTCTACACTGATATTCCCATTTTCAAAGAAAATGTATTTCCTTTACAGGGATGGAAGTAGGGAGCTGCAGAAAAACAGCATATCTGAACAGCTATCTCGATGATGTCCAAGATTTCATAGTTGTACCCGGTCCTGCAGCTCGCCTAAGACCTAATAATGTTCCAGATGAGTATTTCTCTTGTATGTAGTTGCTAAACTAACTTTTGTTATTGGGTTATATGTTTTTGTACTTTTCAAATACAAGCATAGGATCCGCATATTCCATTAGTAAACCTGAGTGCATGCCACTTAGCTACAGTCTGGACAATGATGAAGAGGAAATACTGAGTAGTGTGTGCACTTGTGTTTTTCAAGACCATTTGACTTTCCAAGTCTGAAAGTATATTTGAATTCCACATTCAAATACATGAAAACATTTTATGGGCTGCCTCAGAGTTACCAACTGAAAATCCCTCCTGCCTTGTGAATGGCATTCCTTCGAATAAGATCACCCGTGCACAAGACAGCCCAAAAATCCTTCCTGCATGTCTCACCTCATTTCCTAATTTATTAAGTTTTGCATAAATGTGCAAAATTTCTGTCTTGGAGAAATGTTAAATTGTTACTATCACTTATATATTATTTTGAGTATTATGTTTCCTAGTTATAAAAAATTGGCCTAATGGCCTGACTCAGTAATTGGATAAACTGCAAGTAAACATAAATAATAAAATGGAGTAAAAAAATCAATGAATACTTACAGATTTTAAACTCTGATTTGTTAAGCAGTCTTATTTTAGGCAAACATTTAATCCCTACAATTTTTAGTACTTTTTAATGTTAAGTGCAGGAGCTTTCTTCATGTTTCATAGCATTTTTTTGAGGGTAGGTTGGGTTTTTTTCTGTAGAGATTATTGTTCTCTGTGCCCTTTAAGACTTGTAGACCTCAACCCCAGTGACTTTGTCCTATTTACTTCACTGCTTGATGCTGTTCTAAACTGTTTTAAATGTTTACTTGGAGAACATGGGAGTTAAATGCAGTGTCAGGTTCTCCCTGGAGAAGTTCAGGAAGAAGAGAAGTGGCGCATCTCCTCCTTTGGACATGTGCTCTGTTACAATGAAGAAGCATAGCTGTCTTTGTAGCACGGCGTGTATCTGTGCAGGAATTATGAATGGTTCTACTGCCAGGGTAATCCTTTAGGTACTTGAGTCAAGTGTTGGAGATCAGAGTCAGGACAGAGTAACTGTGAAATGTAGTTGGTCCTGTGTTACACAAAATGCCAAGCTACATGATGTAATGGTCCCTTTTGGCTTGAGCCTAAGCATCTGAAACTTAGCCAGCTGGTGCTTGGCTTTCTTTCTAAGGATAGCTGCTAAACAAAACTGCTGTCCTGGTAGTTGCATTTGTGTCTTTTCGTTTAAAGGCTTATTAGCAAAGAAAAATTCACCTTGATTAACACAGCCTTTAGTTGCTTTTTTTCTGAAAACTTACTTCTTGGTTTATTTTTCTAACTGCGGCTAATATAGTTTAAATGCAAGTATACTTAACTTTTAACTCATAAATTTAACTAAAGTTTAACTAATATAGTTTCAACTTAAAGCTGTAAATAAGTAATCAAAGGGAAGAGAGGGTGAACTGAAATTTTATAAAAGCAATAGCTTGACAGTTTAGGAATTATCTTTCTCTATATGGTTTTCACTCTGAAAAAATAATTTCTTACGCCCAGAAATTTATTGAAACTTATAATTTGTATTACATGATGGGAATGTTTTCATTTTACATCTGATCTTTTTAAACTTAGGTGACTAATACTTACATATGATTCTTCCAGTTAATTATGAAGGCATTGTCAGAAACCTCACGGTAAGTGTTATTTTATTTGTTGCTCTAGCTTAATTTCTGTTGACATTTACAAGTATTTTATAGCATTAGCTGTTTGCTGGGCAACTTACATACTATATGTACTTTGATTCAGTGACAGGATGAGGGGACATAATCTCATACTGCACCAGGGAGGTTTAGGTTGGACATCTGGAAGAATTTTTTCTAGTCGACAGGGTGATGTTTAGTCATAGTTGTACTTGATGATCTCAGAGGTCTTTCCCAACCTAACTGATTTTGTGTGTGACCTTTGGTAAACAGCAACAATAACAAAAGTAGTTCCACACAGGGGAAGGTGAAATTTGAATAAGGTGATATGCAGCTATTGGGTTGTGCATTAACTAAAGCTCTGTGTTCATTTCCCCGTATTGTATTATGTGTATTGTGTTTTTCTTCCAACTGGAGAACTTGTGTATCTGGACCATACTAGCTGAGGACCACGTCAGTGTAAAGCTCAGCTCTCTTGCCAGGATACACGCAGGATTTTCTTGCTCACACCTTTTTGATAAACAGCTTTGAGAGAGGATATTGAATTTTATTTTTCTGGGGGGGGATGTCAGTTGCAGTGTAATGAATTTGCTTTTTTGCTCTGTCCCTGGCTTCTGTTCTCATCCCTGCACTGTAATCTGTTTGCCTCTCATTTGTGCAAACACTGCTGTTGGTGAGAGCAATGCTGTTTGTATAGATGACTTCATTGAAAATTTCCAATGTTATGGTAGAGATTTTGGTTTTTTTTCCTTTTTAAAATCATTAATGGATCTTGGTTCATAAAAAAGGTTATTTGTCCCTGTGTGATCAGCCTAAAAATCCTAAATATCTGTTACCTTCTCTATTACAGAGCTGTAGACTTTTTGCACTGGACAATCTCTTATAACTTGTGAAAGTATCATGATGTTCATGTCTTAGTGTAATTCATTATTAATTCTATGCAGTACAGTTTGGTTCTATACAACTGTAGGCTGTAAGAAAAAAAAGCAAGTTTTGTCCATAATGCAATATTAAATATCTTTTAATAGCTATTGAATCCAAATCCAGTCAGTATTTGTGATTTAAGTATTCATTCATATGTCTCAGATCTTATGACTCCAAACCTGGTGGAGTTACATTGTTCTTAGTGGAAGCTGTTGCAGATCATTTTCAATTGATGTGCTTTTTAAGAACTGTGCATGACATAAAATACGCATTTCACCAAAATTTCCTTATGTTTTAATTTAAACATTGCAGTGCATAAAACCAAACCAGCCTTTCAAAGCTTATATGAAGCAGCTGCTGCCCAAGCGTTTCCATTATTCCTATAATGACCGGATTGAACCGCTGCACTTTTATTTAGACTCCCAGTGGCAGCTTGCTCGGTAAGTTTCAGTTCTCAGTACCCAAGCGAACAACAAATAATTTATTGTTTTCTCTTCCAAGTGCTTAGAGTTCAGTGATAGCTGTTAGAGTGTGATATTCTTATTTGTTGTAGCAAAAGGACATTGCAAAGGAACAATGCATGCTTTTTTCTGCAGGTTTTGCTGGCCTGGAGAGGCTAAATTCTAAACCGGCAGCTATTCATATTCTGCCTGCTGGGTATGGAGGTAGTGGCAGGTTAGAAACTAAAGTCCTCACTCTCAGATGCTTGAGCACATCTTGCTATGCTGTTGGAATTTCCAAAGTGAGTTAATGAAAGCTGAGCATGTAAATAATTTCTAGGTTAAATCAGTCTTGTCATTGAACTTACTGAGTCCATTACTTTATGTGTTTCGATTAAAGAATTTACAAGAACAGTGGTATCTGTTGTAATGGTATTAATTTTGAGCACCACAGTTATACTTCAGGGCTTTCATCATGGAAGAATTTTTCAGTGCACCTCTTCAATAAATCTTTTTGTGTAACACTATAGAAATGTGCAAGTTGTGCAAATCAGGTTTGGGTTGATAGAACTGTGTGTTTACATAGTGTGTATGGACCTAGAACAGGTTGGATGTTTGTTTTTATTAGACTGTAAGATTCTCATCTGAATGGTCTAAATTAGATTACTGTTTTTATTATAAAAATATTGAGAATATACTTAAAGTACTGTAAAGTTGTTACTCAAGTGACAGTGAAATGAAAATCTGTTAGCCTGAAATGAATTTTTTTTTTTATATGTCATGTGCTTTGACTTTAAATGACTCTAATAGACACATGAAAATTCCAAAGGGATAACATTTGCAGAGAAAATTACTATTCTGATTTTAAAGGCATTCTCTTCCCAAGCACTAAAGGCTTCTCATTCTTTATGGATAATCCTAAGTATCTTTTAACAGAGAAGTAAATATGTCATCACTGAATGTACTTTATGCTGATGTGATTTGTGAGTTATATAAACTGTGTATTTTTAATAGAAAACCACTTGAGATTAAAAGCTGCAAAGGTGGATTCCATGGCTCAGACAATCGCTTCCCCAATATGCAGGTAAGGTTTAAACTTATGTTAGCTCTTATTTTTAGTTCCCTCTGTTTCCAACTGCTGTGTTTGCTGGGTGTTGAGGTTTGTTTGTTGGTTTGTTTAAATGATTTAAGATCTGTGATATTATTCCATCTGCAGTTCAAGAAATAAAACATTTATAGGACTGATATTGTCATGTGCTGGATAACCCATAAAAATAAGGAGAGTTTGAACTTCTCTTTAATGAGAAATGGGAAGACATCATAGGAAAACATGAAATCTGATCCTCAGTTTCATCTAATTTGGGAAAGTCACTTAACCTATCCTCTGCTTTAGTTTCTGCTATCAATAAAACGAAGGCCAATATTCTTGATTTCAAAATGCTGTTTTCAGGATTAAAATCTACAAACCATTGTGAGGTACTTGGAACTATTACAGTGAATATGTGTAAACACTTTTAAAAGAGAAATCCATGTATTACATGGACTTTGTAGGTCTTCTCATGAAACTTGTTTTCAATCATTTTCTTTCATAAAAGCCTTTTTTTTTTCATGTGTTGTAGAGTTATGTAATGTTGGCATGAAACTGTTTTTAAAAAAGTCCTGATCTTGCATTAATTTACACCTCCTACCCATTGATTTACCCTTTATATTTCTTCCCTGATTTGACTATGGAAAACTTGCTGATAGTGTTTCTAGTAATGGGTTGCAAGCAGCAAGCCACGTGATGCCATATGTACTCCATCTCTCTCTGATGCATTTTGACTGTGTAAATTTTTTTCAGTAGACTGACTCTATTCAAACTTTTTTGCCACACTTGGGATTGTCAGTTCATAGCACCCCTAACAAGTCCTAAACCAGATATAATTTATCCTTTTTGTAGCTACCATTATAGCAGCATAACAGTATTTCATACTCTGTAACCAAAAACAACAGAAAGGAGGTAGCGTGTCCCTGCCTCATCTGGTTCAAATTAGGCTGGTTGAGTACATTAATAGCCTGCAGATTCTAGTATCAACAGTTGCAAAATAATGCCTGTGTTATGCTTTGATCTCAAAGAAAGGACTTAAGAGTTGAGTTTTAGCCTCTGTTTTTGCCACACAGCTATGAAATCTGAGACAATTGCATTGTTCACAAAGAGCTTGGAGATCTTGTCCAGGGGCGTGCTATACAGTGTAAAACATCCATCACTCATTTGGTATCTTGATACCACAGATGTGTGCAATCTGTTTATCTTCATTAAAAATAAGCTGAATAACTGAGGACAAGTTTTAAAACAATGTTTTTAGCAGCAGTTGAGCTTAAGCATTTGTTGCCCTTTCCTCTTTGTTCATGCTGCAAACCCTGCAGTATGCTGGTGTAACATTTGTGTGGCTGCAGTGTAAAGTAGGTTGGGGAATTAAGCCAGAAGGAAAAGAGCCAGCAGGAAAAAAAAAAGGAAAGGTTTTTGAGCTGGCAGCATTCCTGGATCAGGTCCAGTACAGCTTGGGAAGTGGTGCAAGAAGGAACAGCTGCAAACCAGGCATGGAAGCCTACGATCCTACCATTGCTTAAACCACTTAAAGCATTGCTACCAACAGATGTTTTTAGAGCCCCATGTTAAAAGCTTCCAAATTGTTTACAGGATGTGATATGTGATGGTTACTTTGGATCAACATTTCCATTAACTCTTTTAAAGCATTTAAGAAAATACCTTTTAATTTCTTCAAAAGCAGAGAAGAGCAAGGGACATCATAAATGGCCAAAGGCAACAATGAGATAGAATTGGGTTTCCTAGTACTCTTCTACTATTTTTAAAAATTATTCTTGTACATCTACTTTTTTCAAAAAAGAAAAACACATGCTTTTGACTTGATATATACTGTGTTGGTAAAAAGCTTAAGATTCCAAGATTAAGTTGTTGGAAGAAAATGCCCTCTGAATATAAAGATAATTTTCATTTCAATTTGTCTTAAACAGAATTCCACTATACTTTTCTCTGTAAATCCTAGGCTATCTTTATTGGTTTTGGACCAGGATTCAAGTTTGGTACTCAAGTTGATCCATTTGAAAACATTGAAGTATACAATTTAATGTGTGGTAAGTACAAAGGATGGGCGTCAGTTTTGTTCAGTAAAGTATAATATCTTTTGGGCATTGTAAATCTTCTAATAACAGATTGCTAAGTGTCCTCAGAAACTCATCCTTAAGAGTTGCTGCTATTTTCACAAATCAGCTGTTTGTTTTTCTGAGAAAGGGCCATCTCTAAATGACTAACAGCAGTTTAGGATCTACTGGTCTGGCTACCTTGTCTATTCCCACTGTGTATTCCTCTGGCTTTTCCAGAGCTGGTGCTCACTTGAGCACCAGAGCTTGACCACTACTAAAAATAGCTACTTCAGAATGTCTCTATCATCATGAACAGAAACCTCCTTTCCTTCCTCTTTGAAGCACAATGTTACTGTGACTCCTTATTCCTGTCTCCATTCTTCATTCTGTATTTCATGGTTTCTCCAAAAGTCTGTCACTAGATCTACCACTTTCTGTTCATTTTTTCCCCTTGAGGTCCTCACCTGTTTTCCATTATTTCCTACCTACTTCCCTGTCTGGTTTGAAACTATACTGCTTCTGGGAGAAGAAAAGTATACCAAAGAGTTTGATCCAGAAAATACTTAAGAGTACTGCAAATGCTTGAGATTGGTGGCTGTATTCAAGCGACTTGCTCAACATTACAAGAAGACTAGTACCATCCTGAACACTAGCTAAGAATGTGTGTGGCCCCTTTTAAAGAGGTTACATTGCTTTTCTTCTTGGGTGTTATAAGCAGTAAGCCGTGAAGCTTTGACTCATCCATACTGGTAAGCACAATATAATCAGCTGTGTATTACAATCTTTCTCCTCCTGTTAATATCACTTGAATTCTTTCATAGATTTGCTTGGTGTGAAGCCAGCCCCAAACAATGGAACTCATGGACGCCTAAACCATCTATTAAAGCACCCTGTTTACACCCCGCACCATCCCAAAGAAACCAGTCATCCTTCTGAATGCTCTGTGGTAGGAGAAAGAGCCTTTTCAGTGAGCCTTGGCTGCTCCTGCAGGACAGGGGTAAGAACTAAAATGGTTAAAGTTGTGGAGGCAGAAGTCTGTTGTATTTAAAGACTGAAACTTTGCATTCTCCAGATAGTTTTACAGTCCCTTACTATTGGTTTCAAAATCTACTCTTGCTTGGGGTTAATGAGTGCTATCCTGTATTTGTGTATTAATTTTTTGCAGATTGCTTATGTTAAGTCACAATTATCTCTGAAGAGCCTGGAAAAAACCCACAGAAGCTTGATGGGGAAAGCATTCAGTTTTTGCTTGCCTCACTTAATTATGCTGAAATTTCTGTTCTGTGAATATTGTGTTTGGACTGTGATTTTCAAACCTGTAGATTTGCTTGTGGCAAAACCAATTTGTTACAGGAAATTCCCTGTAGTTCCTCTCCAGTACATGTGTTCTGTGTATGTATAACTTGCAAGGCAGGAGTTACGTTTAAGGGTGGTACCAATTCATAATGTGCTTTGTAGAATTTCACTGCTTTTCCTTTATAATTATAGGGCTTGCCAATAAGGGATTTTCATCAGCGTTTAAATCTTACTGATACAGAAGGTAAGAATTTCAAATAATAATATAAAATTAAAAAGCTAACAACAACAAAAACTTGTGAGTCATCAAACATTTTATGTTTTTAAACTTCTGAGCAACTCTCAAGTAAACGATGTGAAAATTCTTTGAAATACTTGCTGGAACTATAGCCCTGCCTGGAGAATTTGTGGATGCCTCACCCCTGGAAGTGTTAAAGGCTAGGTTGGATGGGGCTTTGAACAACCTGGTCTGGAGGAAGATTTCCCTGGTCTTGACCGGGTGGTTGAAACTAGATGGTCTTTTTGGTCTCTTACAGCCTGTACCATTCTATGATTCTCATGTTTTTGAATACAGTCCTCCTGAACCATTTGTTCTCAGGTAAATGTGTATCCTTACATGTGTGTCTTTATGGCATATGTGTTATCTGTTACTTATGACTTCTCTAGTACTGAAGTAATGAGCATTCCAGAATGGGAAGCAAAAGTGTTGTGTGAGCATTCCAGAATGGGAAGCAAAAGTGTTGTTACCCGATAGCAAATCAATGCAAATAATGATACCTGTAATGGCAGCATACTTTTAATGAGGCATAAGGAGTATTTTACATGTTTGTTATGTGGTCTTGAGTTGTTACTTCTCTTACTTATGCTTTATTTCCATTCATTGGACATACACGTGCCATGTTTAAGCTGCAGTTTGCAAGGCTGTAGGTGTGCTCATGAGTCATAAAACAAAATAAACTATTTTGAAACAAGTAACAGAAACAGGTAAAACAGCACATAAATAATGAAAACTGTAAGTCAAAATGGAACCTAGTCCCAGGTGCTAATGCCTTGATAGATGATATCAAGAGTATTAGGCTACCAGAAATAGGCTGATAGAGACCTTGCCTTGTGTGTGTGTATGTGTGTGTGTGTGTGTTCATGAAATCTATTTTCTATATTTGGCAACACCACACTATAGCTCACTATTGTTGAGAACTGGACATAAATGACACTTACTGGCAGGGTCCAGTATTTGCTGCTTATCCAGAGCTAATTCAAGGCTTCTGTTGATTTGTGGAGTTTGTCCTGAAACAAAGAGTGGATAGAGCTTTCTTGAATCTTTTCCACTAATGACAGGTCATAATTTTAAAACATGTCCCAGAACCCTTTTAAAGTAAGTCTTTCAGTATTGTAACACTCATGAGAGCAGCAAAATAAAATCTAGTTATAATGGTACAATGTGTTTTCTCCAAAGTGTGCCAGGGGTTTTGCTGAAACAGACTCTGAGTATCTCTGAGGGCTTTGTTTACCTGGCTTTGAAGAAACTTGACAAGGCCAGACACAATAACATATTTCAGTTTTCTTTTGTAGAAATAGGAACTTAAGGCTCTAAACCTACATTTTTGAAGCAGTAGGATTTTGTCTTGAATTATCAGTGAGACCTGGTATAGCCCTGTTTTAACAGTGATAATTTCATTATGAGTTGTATTGATTAAGAACTAATCAGATATTAAAGCATTTCACAGATGAAAGAATTCTAGTAAACAGCCTAGAAGTGCCTTAAGACTGTATAGAGTTTATTAGTTACTTCAGTTTGCATGTTCTCTCATGATTGTTGCAACTTGACAGTTTGTAAGGACAAAAAATTATAACTGCATTTTTACTTTAATGAAAAAAATATGAATTGTTTTTCCCTCGTGGGTGGAGAAGGAACTGTCATAATCTTCACATTTTTTGGTACTGTGGAAAAAACCCTGCACATTATTGCTCAATTTCTTTCCCCATGTAATACACTTGCCTTAAAACTGCATAATTATTTGTGGATGGTGAGGACCTATTTAATGGATGATATACTTTGACACCGTCTTTATAACTTTAGTCATGTAATGATTGAAAATACTTGAATTTTCAAAGGCAAATAGTGAGCCCTTGCACAGGTGAAAATCCAATCCAATATGTCACTGTATTGTTTACTTAGACCTCTGTATTTCCTAGTCATTTAAATGCATTTTTACATACAACAATGTGGTATCTACTGAAATAGTAATTTCAAATCACCAGAATTGGTTTCTCTCCCATCTAACTGTTTACATAAAAGCAGATCCCACGTTTTTAAATTGAAACATAAAATCAACAAAGACTTTAACCTTGTGACTTGAATTTATCTTCTGTTTTTAACAGCAAAAGGTTTTGGTTCAAATAGAAGCTTAATTTGTACATAAGCTACATTTGCACATGTTTTGTAGTACAGGTTTAAATAATTTTTACTGGCTTCATCACTTAATTTATTGTCTAGTATAGAAACTATGCCTTTGATATAATAATGAAAATTTTTTGTCCCATTTCTGTGACTTCTGTTTGCTTGGCAATTGAAAATTAAGCCAGCCTTAGGTGTATAAAAGAGGAGGGTATTTAACAACTAGTATAAATTGAAAAGCAATAAGCACCATTTTTGTTGCAGTTAAGAAGACAGAGAAACTTAATTTACCCTACGGACGGCCCAGGGTTCTGCAGAAAAAACATAATTACTGCCTCCTTTACCAATACCGCTACGTGAGCGGGTACAGCAGGGACTACAGGATGGCTCTGTGGAGCACGTACACTGTTGGCAGAGATGTAAGTATAAAGAAAGATTAGAAGCAGCCTTCAAAAGTAAAAATCTAGAATGTCAGTTATTCCTGAAATCTTCTTATATCTGCTCATGATAAGAGTCACCGTGGTGGTGGATTCACCATCTGCAGAGGTGTTCAGGAAAGGACTGGGTTTGGCACTTAGTGCCATAGTCTAGTTGACAAGGTGATGGTCAGTCAATGACTGGACTCAATTGTCTTAGAGGTCTTTTTCCAGTTGAAATGGGTCTGTTATATTTTCTCCCAGGGAACTAAGCTGAACCACATAAGATATAAAGTGGAAATTTGTGTGAGGTTGGCTATGTCAATAAGGATTGGCTTTGACTATTCCATTTCTCAGAATGAAACAGTTTTGCCCCCAGATTGAGCAGATCCATCAGGAAGTGAGGAGTCCATTGCCATTGGTATAGAAACCTATATAGGAGAATGCACTGGTAGCATAGTTCTGCTATAGCAGTCTACAGCAGTGCTACAGCAGTGCTGTCCTTAAAACTGGCCTCAATGTGGGTTTCATATTCTTAAAGCTGTTTGTAATGTGGCAGGATCCTTTTAAAAAAGTAATCTCAGGACCATCTTGAACCTTTCATGCCCTGATATGATCCTTTTCTCAGAATATAATCCTGATTGGGGAAAAAAAGAGATCAGTGAAAATAAAGCTGGTCTTTGTGGTCCTGAACCCTATGCTTAAGATATACCTATTCAGAGTAGAGCACTGATCTGATGAATGAAAGATTTTTCAATTTGGCCTTTCCCATTCACAGAAAATTTAGAAGCCAGATCATGCTTAAAAGGAATTAGGATAGTAGAGAATAATTTTAAATGATTATCTGGGAATCATAGGTTTTAGATAATGACTGATAATTAAATTTAGCTAAACTTTGGGAAAATTTATTTGATCCTAAATATTTTGAGGGTAGTGGCATGAAACAACCAGTTACTTTAACAAGTGGCCCACACATCTATCTGTCAATTATGTGAGGCTGTCTATCTGTCAGTAAATCAGGTTGTCTTAAATGAGGACCTCTAGATTATCTTTTAGAAGATGTAATAATTGACTAAAATGCTGCAGTTCTGTTAATTTCTAAGGTATATGAAGTGATGGGAGGGCTTGTTTTCCACTGGCATAAGAGGAACAATTCTTGCATCTTAATTAAGTCCTTCACACTCTTAAAGGCAGCTGCAGCCAAATATTTAGAATTCTGCAGTCCCTCATACCAAGAGAATTATTGTAAGTTGTAAGCTTTCACAACAATACTTATTGTAAGCTTTCACAACGATACGTTCTTCTTGTTCAATAGGACAAATGGATTTCTTCTACAGGAGCTGCCTCCAACTGTTTACATAAAGATGTTCGTATTTCACAGAATCATAACCAGACCTGTTTGTTTTACGACAATCATCCTCGCCTAACTTATGGATTTCTTGCTCCTCCAAGTAAGTACTTTGTCTTCATTGTATAGCATGTCTGATGTACATGGTTTGTAATGTAGCAGGTGTAGTCTTTTGTAGGTGTTCTTGATACCTAATCAGAATTAAAGCAGTAGTTGCTGAATTGTTGCAGTTCACTTCAGCATAGGAGAAAGGAAAACACTTTAGATGCTTCAGCAGTTGGTGGGTTGTCCAAGGTCACTTAGTACTTCCCAGAAGTTTTGAAGCACTTATCATGCTTCTAAAGTGGCATCTCACAGAAGAAACTGGGAAGGACATGTAGACATTGAGTAAAGTCCAGCAAGCTGGTAAAATGCAAATTCACTCTGTATACATGGATAAATTGTTTGTGAACTGTTGCTGACCTGATACGGAAGTATTTTATTTACTCTACTCATTGAATACCAAGTAGCAGGTTATTTAAACATCCACATCAAACATAGTTTGCAAAGTTTTAACATAATCCTATATTTAAGCCTAGATTCTGCAGTCAGGGAAAGTTGGCCTGACATTCATGAATTTTATTTCTCTCGCCACAATTCAGAAGCCTGTCCTGATATTTTTAAATCTCATGAAATTTGCCAACTGTATATCTGACAAGTGTAATTGCTGCTGCTACTAAATTTATTTATTTTAGGTGGAATCTGGAAGGTACTGAAAGTCAACACTTACACCCACACCAGTTTTGGAAAATGAAGTTAGGTCAGCTCCATCTCAATGTTAATACACTGATCACTAAAAGCATGAAAATGCAAGTTTAAAGTAAAAAATATGTGAAATTAATTGACCTTTTTTTTGTTTCAGATTTTATGACAGATGCAAAGAAACCTCACTATGATGCCTTGCTTACCAGCAACATTGTGCCAATGTATCCTGAATTTAAAGGTATTTTATTTGTATGCCTATTTTATGTCCATAGTTGAATAGAAGACTGCTGGTGTTGTGCTGGCTTCTAAACCATGCATATGACCCCTGGTTCCTGGGAGAGAGGGAACATGAGATGGTTGGCTGAGAGAAAATAAACATATTCCTGGTGAAAAAGAAGGATAACTGTGGTACTTCTGGAAAATAAGAGATATCCTGTTTTGTAATGGAGTACTGTTCAATTCTTAATTGTAATTTAAAATATTATATAGATTAGATATGTCGGGACATGGTGCAGTGGATGCTGCTGCCCACTTATATGCAACCTTTAACAACAGCAAACACATGTAGAATTTGTTTTCCTAGCTTATCATGTCTGTCTATACTCCACTGAATACTCTGCAGAGTTGTATTAGCAGCTTCTATTGTGAAGATTGTTTCCTGATTCCATTACTGTGTTTCAGTGTTATGGAACTACTTCCATCAACACCTCCTGCCTGAATATGCTGCAGCCAGGAATGGTGTCAATGTAGTCAGTGGTCCAGTGTTTGATTATGACTCTGATGGGCTCTATGATACCCCAGAAAAGTTGAAAAGGTGAGAACCTTTCACATTCGAATTCTTTGTTTCTTTCCTCCAATACTGGTCTGTTAGTAATTATCCTTCTTCAGAAAGACAGGCAAAAGTTCAGAAAGAAGTAACGAGCCTGAAGAGAAAAATGCACCTTCAAAATGAGTCATCCTAAAACTAAAGGTAGAGTTTAAGAGAAGCTGTTGTGTGTGGAATGATGTCTACCAGCCTGAAAACTTAGGACATTGCCATTGCCTCTAGGAGAGGACAAGGCAAGGAAGGGCTTATCCCTGCTGGCATGGTTGATACTCCTTGAGCTGGCAGTGTTCTACTACAAGTTGTGGCTTACACCAATTAGCAAAATTGGCTCAAGATAGCAGGCAGAGAGGTTCCTGGACTTGGGCTGAACTCTTCATCACCTCTGGAGTTTTACACATTTTTATGGCAAATCAATTTGTTATACCTCATCAAACTTGTTATTTAGTCTAAAAGCCAAACTTGATTTTCAAAAATAGTGGTTTGGAATTTTCCTTCCAGACCTAAGTTTTCCTTGGACAAAATAGGTGAATTGATAAAATTGAATATAGCTGAATGTTGCAATTTGATCTTTGTGCAAGTATGATTTGGTGGATTTACAGAGAGATCTTTTGTATTTCAGATACCGTGTTAATTCAGAAGTTCTAGTTCCAACTCACTTCTTCATTGTGCTGACTAGCTGTAAAAATACTTCTGAAACTCCTCTGGAGTGTGAAGGTTCTCTAGATGCCTTGTCTTTCATTGTACCTCACAGAGAAGACAACAGTGAAAGCTGTGCAGTAAGTAGTCTGTTTGGCCCTCATAAACTTCTGAAGTCAGGCTGGAGTTTGTTTTGTTGGATATCAGTAATTAACTGGTTAAAGCCTTTGAAAATGGTACAGTCTACATGCCCATCTTGAGAGAGAAGACAATATTTTTGCAAACAGAATTATGTCAAAGTCTGTGAATATCATCAAATGGGAAAATAGATCTGTTCAAAGAACAAAGCTTAGAGCTAGCAAAGTGGGGTCAGAGTATGCAGAGAGCATGAATGTGATACATACAGAGACTTCTGTAATGCAGCTATTCAGTCTAGAGCTGAGCAGGATTAAGAGCTTCTAAGAGGAGTCACCCAGAATAAAAGGTCAGTGCTAAGGCCAAATGCATTCCCAGAAGGAGAAAACACAGATGTTTCTGAAGAGCACTGGTTGCTTCTAGTTCAGGTACCTTGGCATTGTGGTGAGAACACACATAACTACACTCCATATACGCCAGAAAAAAAGTGTGGAAAGTGTGTAGACCAATCCTGCAGCAAGGAATTAGAGCCAGACACAGTTCTCAGAATATTTTTATCATACTGATGGTAGATAAATTGTCATTCCCCATTATCACCAACTGGTGCAGCTACAGGTTTTGTATACTTGAGGTGGGAACAGCAAGAACTAAATTCAGACAAGCTTCTAACTATGTATAATCCTTGCACGCTCTGTTTGTTAGATGCTTGCCAACAGTTATTGATTTCTGCCTTTATAAAACATCAAAATGTCTTTTTTTAGTAGATTAAATGCATCTCAGGAGAAAAAAAGAAGTTTTACAGCCCCTTTTTTTTTTTTTTCCTCCTGTGTCCCAATAGGATGGCAAGTCTGAGTCCATGTGGGTTGAAGAGAGAATGAAGTTTCATACAGCTCGGATCAGAGATATAGAATTAATTACTGGGCTCAGCTTCTATCAAGACGGAAAACAGCCAATATCTGACATTTTACAGTTAAAAACATATTTGCCAACTTTTGAGACAGTCTGATTTTTCCTATGGAATGTTTTTATTCATGTCACAACTGATTTGTAAATAGACATTTTTTTAATTACCAAAATCTTTTTTTAAAAAATAAGCTGGAACTTTTATTGAGAACTCTTGACCAAATTGCCAGTAGAGAGGAGAGTGGGTGCCATATTTGTATCTCAGGGACTCCTGATGGACTATGCTTGTGACACAGGATGGCAGCGCCTGTCATTCCCACTTGGATGTGGTGGAACCATGTCCATTATCATGCTAAGATCATTTGGTCATCATAGTCATAGACACGAACACAAATGTTATCTTTGATATGCACTGGAGAGGGAGAATTTTATAAAGCATAGTTTATGATCAGCATTCTACTTTCAAAATGCAGGCAATTAGCAAATACCATTCTGGGAAAGAACTACAGTCTTGGTGACCATTGAAATCTAAACAACAACACTCTTCTCACTCCAGTTTTCCTTGAAGTGTGAATTGCACTCTGAGCTTTGGGTGTCATAAAACAATGCAGCGTTGTGGTGTAAGAAGCTATACTGGGGTCAGCAGGACCAGTAATTAAACCTTCCCCCACGTGGAAGAGATGCCTGGCTACAGGAGTTCCGTGGGCTGGGAAGCCTCAGCATGTTGCTGCCCTCTGATGGCTCCAACACTGACAGAGAGTTGGATGCACAGTTCACGTGTTGTACATGCATCCTTGGAACAGGTGGATGTAGGATGCATCAAGTCACCTTAAAATGAGAAGAATTTACATCAGGAATATGTTTGAGCTCCCAAAAGTAATTATCTTACTTCAAGCTAAACTTAGATTTGATGAAAAATTTTGCATTATTGAAGTAAAGATGTGTTTCTCTGTTTAGTACATGTTTTTGTCAGCTGTGGTTTTGAAATCCCATTTTTGAATGCAGATGCTGTCAGAGATGCAAATTTTGAAGAAGCATGTAATGACCTTTCTTGGAAGCTTTCAGGCTACACAAAACAGCTGCTACAGGCACTCAGGCATGTAGGAACTCCCTCCTTTTCCAGTACACGTATTATCACCTTTGTAATTCTCCCACTCTCTAAAGCGGATGACCCAAAATTGGCTCTGTTATGTATAACATTCAGCATGGCCAATTTCACATTTATGGTCTTCTCATTTAAAAAGGAGAAAATACATCACGCACAAGTATGTCAGAAGAATGAAGAGCCTATAACTGAGCAGAGAGGCATTTGACCTTATAGCTTGGCCAGGACATGTTGAAGGCTGGATTCAGAGCCTGCTGAAGTCAGAGGAAGCTTTTCCATTAACTTCAGTTTGAATGGGCTGAAGTTCTGGGACCATTTTTTCTTTTAACCAAGCGTATTTTCTTGATCTTATGTTACAAGCATGAATTTTTTTTTTCTCAAGTAGTTTCACTGTGTGAAATCTAAATGTGTTGTAGCAACCTCACATTACCATAGAACTGTGACAGCATTATTCAGTGTAACTGCTTTGTAATGTTGCCTGTGACCAATAAACCCATCAGAAGTACTATGCTGCTTGTGACCCTTTCTGTACCAAATGCTACCAACTGGTGCAGTTATAGAGCACAATTTCACTTTTTTTCGGGGGGCAGAGGGAATGGGAGTTGCTTCATTCTTTGCTCCATAAATTGAAGATAATTTCTCCATCTGTAACATTAGTTACATTTATTATTAGGAGAGGAAGGTAGGAAGAAAGATGGTCAAAGTATTAAGGTGTTTTTGTTGTTGTTGTTGTTGTTTTTTACAACTGGTACTGTCTCCTGAATACAAATAGATATGTTGACACCTTAAGGTGATGCCAGTTTCCATCCAGAGGCAGGGCCAGCCTAGCTCCTGGATAAAAATGGAACCAGTGTGTCTTCAAGCATGTGACTTCTGGTTTGACCTTTGATTTTGGAATGGAGAGCAGTTGTGAAAGCTATTATGGTCATCAGGCAGGGCAGGAGCTAAGTGAGGTTTGGAATGTGCCTTTGCCAGAAATTGACAAGTCAAATTGACAATGAAGATAGTTATTCTCATTTAATGTTAAGTGTAAATATTTCTGCTTATTTAATTTCTTATTTGATTTTTAAAGACATTTGTAATGGTGGTGTCAGAGCATATGAATAAATGCTGGTACTAGTCTTGGTGTCCTGGGGCTAGTCCTACCCCAGGATGACAGATACTAGGTTGTCCTTTTGAAGCCTGATGGGACCCAAGGAGCATCCTACAGTCACCAGCAAACTCTGTTCAGAAAAACTTTACAGCTTCACTTGCCTGGATGTAAAACATTTTCTGTTTCAGCCGGTGTATGGTGTCAGAGCTTGTCCTGGTTCCATCCAGGACAGGGTTAATTTTTGCAGTAGCCAGGAGAGGCATGACCAGGACTGTGAGGTTATTCTATAGCACCTCACACCATACACAGGGGGTGGGAGGGAGGTTGGGTTCCTTCCTGCTGTCTGGTGGTGGGGAGCACTCACCTGTGGAATCACTCGCCTGTCTTCTGCAGTCTGTTACTAATATTGTTGTTGTTACTGTTTGTTTACTTATCTTGTTGTTTATCTCATCAGCAAATTGTTCTTATCTCAACCTGCAATCTAATTCTCCTCTCCATCCTGCTGCAAGGATGAGGGGAGAGGGGATCAGGGAATGAGCGAGTGGCATGTGGTTTGGAGTGTTTCAGGGGGAACACTAAATTGGGGAATACCATTCCTAAACCATGACAGCATTCCACTAAGCATTTTCAGTAGGTAAAGCTGAAAGGTGACATGTGACATGGGTGTCAGTGTTACTCAATGTAACTGCTTCTTTGCTGTGTAGTGTGGCCTTCTTTCAAGTGAAAAAGGCAGAGGAAGAGCAGACTTCAGCTCATGGGTCTGGATGTGCCAAGAAGTGAAACGTGTCACAAGACAAGTAGAGTTGTGCCTTGAGAGATTTTTAGGTGGTACAGACTTATAACACTGGTTGCTACTGTCAGTAACTGAGAGGTAATTTGCTTGACTAATATGTTGGAGTTTCTTGCTCTTGTTAACCTCAGGATCTACCATGTTTAAAGAAAATAAACCAATATCTAACTGTCTGTATTTCAGACAGAACTGTTCTTGTAAATCTCTTCTCAATGCTTCCCAAATACACTAAACCACTGTGTCCAGCCTAGTGCACAACAGCTGTCTGCTAAAAGCACCTGCCAGAGGCTGCCCTGTGTCATCCGGTGAGTGGGTGGCCTGAGCTCCTGCCTTTCCTTAGACTGAGTAGATTCAAAGTACAAAATTATCCCTTTAAATACAAGGTTATAAACCATACTCAGCAAGTTGGAAGGAGTTACCCATCTGCTGCATGGGAGGGCACCCACTTTTCCAGGAAAATGAGATTCATGGGGATCAGAAGTCAGAAAGAAATATAAAAGGAAGCCTCAATCTGTGACTCTGTGGTTAGGATGCTAATCTAAGAGGCAAAAATCTAATTTCTCACCTCCCTTTTTTCAAAGTCTGCTGCAAAGCCCAAGCTTGTTGCTGAGGAGGTTCCTGTGCCAGAAGGAGTTGCCCAATGTACCATTCCAGAGTGGACCCTCAGGAATAAGAGCACCGTGAGGAACTTCTAGTGCTGCAGGGTCACAGGGCAGCTGCTGTAACACTCTGTGCCCACATCAGCACCACTAATGAGCTTGGGAAACCAGCCCGGGGCTCATGGTGAGCTCTATATTCAGCACTTTTACTGCTGGGCTGTGGTAAACTGTTTTTGCTCTTCTGAGGAGTTCAGGGGCAGAGTCAGTAAGAGTCCAGCAACTTATTAAAGCACAAGTTTCCAAATATTTGTGTTTGTTTGCCAGCAGCAGCAACATCTCCTACTTACCCTCGCATACCTTGCGGCGATGTCTGGGAGGTGTTGGAGCACCATGCTGAGGTGGCTTGTGTACCACGTGTGGTATGTCTGCCATAGCTCAGGAACCTCTATATTACAGGAAACCAGTCCAGGTTTGGCATCCTGTGACTCAGACTCCCTGGAAAGGAGTTGAGTCCTTTGCTGAACCACTGTGACTCACCACACCAGGCTTGAGCCTCAGGAAAGGCTGCTATGGAGACCATGGACAAACTTGGAATAATTATGGAAGCCTGGAAACAGATTTTAGAGGATACCATTGCAAATTATTGTATTCCTCCTTAGCCACAACACGTGTCAAATTTATGTTGCCATTTATTGCGTGTTTAGTTCTCTCTATTTTTAATTTACTGAAATAAAACAAATATAGTGAGATGAAAGAGTTTTGAATCACTCCAAAACTCCAGACTGCTCTACTGATCAGAAGACAGCAGAATTGCCTTTTGTTCATATCCATAAGGCACATAGGCTGACAGTCATAGAATCAGAATTATTCTGGTTGGATAAGACCTCTAAGATCATTGAGTCCAGCCATTAACCCAGCACTGCCAAGTCCACCATGAAACCATGTCACTAAGTGCCACATCCACACATCTCCTAAATCCTTCCAAGGACAGTAACCACTTCCCTGAGCAGCCTATTCTGGTGCTTCACAAACCTTTTGGTGAGGATATTTTGGGTATTTTTCTAATACCCAAAAACTCCCCTGGTGCAACTTAATGCTGTTTTCCTCTCATCCTTTCACTTGTTACCTGGGGGAAAAGGCTGACCCTCACTTGGCTACACCCTTCTTTCAGGCAGTTGTAGAGAGTGATAAGGTCACCCTTGAGCCTCCTTTTCTCCAGGTTAAACAACCCCAGCTCACTCAGCCACTCCTCACAGGACTTGTGTTCTATACCCTTCACCAGCTTAGTTGCCCTTCTCTAAACTTGCTCTTGCATCTCAGTCTCTTTCTTGTAGTGAGTGGCCCAGAACTGAACACAGGATTTGAGTCAGGGCCCTTCTGAGCACAGGGGAGATGATCCCTGCCCTGGTCCTTCTGGCCACACTATGGCTGATAGAGGCCAGGATGCCATCAGCCTTCTTGGCTACCTGGGCACAGCTGGCTCATGTTCAGCTGCTGTTGACCAGCACCCCCAGGTGCTTTCCATCAGGCATCTTCCCAGGCACCCTGCCCTAAACCTGAAGGGTTACATGGGGTTGCTGTGACCCAAGTGCCAGATTCAGAACTTCACTGTAATGTTATTGGCCTTGGCCCATCAATCCAGCCCATTCAGATCCCTCTGCAGAGCCTTCCTGCCCCTACAGCAGATCAACATTCCCACCTAACTTGGTGTCGTCTGTGAACTGACTGAGGGTGCACTTGATCCCCTCATGCAAGTTATCAGTGAAGATGTTAAACAGAATGGTCCCAGTACTAAGTCTTGGGGAACACCATTAATGACTAGCCACCAGCTGGATGTAAATCCATTCACCACCACTCTCTGGACTCAGCCATCCACACACTTTCTTATCCAGCAAACTATGCA